GTAGGAAACTGTGTCCTTTTCCAGAAATTCTCTTGGATCTTAGAGGCGTTTTCGGGTACCTTTGACTGAGATCTTACAACTTTTGCACACTTGTTGGTTTTGTACCCTTATATCCCATTGCTTGCTGGTTAGGTATCACTTGTTTATTTTCTTTCAAAACCTTTAGCTGCCCACCTTCCATTCGAACGTCATGGCCTACTCACTTGAACCCACAACTGCAAATGTCAATGTGAACCTGTGTGTGACCTCATGCCTTGACCAGCTCAAACTTCTCGCCCGCCAATGCTGCTGGTTTCTCTTTTCGCAAAATGTGGACATCTGTGCAGATCCGGCCGCGCACTTACCCCTGGTGCGATGTCAAATGTTGGAGAGTACGTTGGTGGGCTTGAACTGCACGGGCGATGGAATCCTTACACTCCGGTAAGAATTCAGGAATATTCTGGTGTAACTGGGTCAGGATGTAAAGCTGTCCTTGCACTCTAGTGATCAACGCATGCAGCTCCAGCAAAGGACTGATGAATGAACCTGGAAATTTGAAAATGTCATTGGTGGGAACCCTGAAGGGGGTTGGGACGAAAAATGTGATATGTTGTAGTCATGTTGACATGCCATGAAATGTTGCAGATGAATGCGCATGACACAACATGACTTTGATTTGATTGGCACTTGCCAATCTGCTTCACGAAACTTGAGTCAAAAATGACATGGCCATGAAATATATATATATATATATATATATGAATGCAAGATCAAACTCGGAACCGTGTGCAGCCCACGCACTACATGTTGCAATGATTGCAAGGTCTTGTTCACAAAATCATCTGTCATCATGTTGCCATGAGGTACATCAAGGTTTCCATCAAAATGTTGTTGGTAATGTTGGTCAATTTCCAATTCTTCGTGGTTGAATCGCCACCTCGATCTGTTTCCAACCTCTTAGCAACAGGTTTTGCCACGGCTTCTGCGAGGCATTCTGTATCCATGTCCTGGTTTGTTTCACCAGTTTTTACCTGTTGATAACGTCAAAAAAACCACACACACACACATTCATAAAGGATATAATTATAATATATATATATATATATATATGTATGTTTGCGCAAATCTATTTATCTACACATTTTGTTCAGTTTTATGTGGTGAATTTCTATGTCCGGTCTGTTTGAAGAACCATTTCTACCGCTACGGTACTACCCACTTGCTTGTTACCAACAACGCCGACTTGTGCCATCAAACACCATGAAACCAAGTGGCTGTAGCTTTGCAACCTCAGGCTCACTTGGTTTTTGGAAGTCCAGGAAGGCTGTTGCGAACACAACATGGGAGGTACGACCGACCAAAAATGGAGATACCCTGTCCTGTGGTTTTCAAACATGGCAAAGGAAAAATCACAGTGTATTTTTTTCTAACATCATCTATAAATAGGGATTCTCCATTGCGAAATGCACTACAAAAGGATACCACAAAGAAATAGTGGGAAATTAAAAAAAACGATTCATGAAAAATCGCAGTTTTTGAAAGGTGGTTTCAGCCATCCTTGATAAACACGTCAGTTGGGATCATCCCAGAAAGGCATTGAAAACCCAAAAAATGTGTCTAAACTATCTATACCCAACAAAATTCAAACTATCAAGTCAACTTTGGCGATCGAAAGGTTGGCTAGAAACCGTTCGCCATTAACAAGGACTGATAAACATGATAAACGCGTTTGTTTTTTTGGATGGTCGCACAACGTCCCAACCATATCGAAAAATATGGATCATTGGGGATCACCCTCCCAGGTATGGATGGAAATATGTCGGAAACCGCCAACCAGTAGTTCTCAGCAACTTTGTTTGGGTGGCCAAACCAAATCACCTCAACGACGTGGCTGAACCATTTCCACCCGGGACCCTGGGAAAATTGAACAAGCAACGGCATGGAGTTTTCATGGCGCTCATGAGACCAACTGCCGCCGATTTGTCGCCGGTGGCTGCTTTTGAACATGTGCCATGCGCGTGACCCCATGACAAGAAACAGCGCCCCTTCACGGCCACATGTTTCATCAGCACTGGTTACACTCTCCCAACCAAATGGCAACACCATTTGTCGGGAGAGATCCCGGACAACGTTTTGGGATAGGGATTGAAAGCAGCGACTGAACCAGGACGAAGAATCAACCCAGCCACCCGAGTTCAATTTTGATCGAACTTGGTTCATTGCTGGATATTTTGTTTGGCATCCTTACCCTTCCATCCAAAACCCGAACTATAGGACTTCAAAGCAGGGTTACGAACCACCTGTTAGCGAGGAAATTGCCCCAAGCGTTGAGTTGCAACCGCCCACCTGCAGTCACCAAAACCAAGGGTAATGAGCCATACACTTAAAAACAAGATATGCAGCAACAAGTTGAAATCTTACTCTTTTCCCAAGTGCAGCCTTCCAACCCTGGTTAGCGTTCGATCTGTTCAGTTTCGGGGTCCATCTAATGGGGTATCTCTCTTGAGCTGGATGGGGGTACTCCGCCAGCATCGATCGAAATATCGCCTGGAAACTGTCTGGTTGCCGATTTCCAGCAACGCATCGCCTTGCAGCACGCCATTCTTTTCAGCCCATCCAGCCCTGGCAGCGGATTGGAAAAGGGCCCATGGCAATGAGGTGCTTCCAAGCAAATCTCATGTGATTAATGCTACCTTGACCATGCCCAGGTTAGCTTTCACAAAGCCAGCCTGGCAACTTCCAGCACAGCGATCTCCGGCCCAGGCGACAGCTGAAATCCTGCTGGGGTGGCTGATCCGTGTCAGCCTCACCTCTCACATCTGGGGAAAGCCAATTTGAAGGGGAGCTACCAAGAAAATTGCTCGCGCGCCAGAAATTGGCCAATTTCAAAGCAGGCCAAAGGCCAAAGCTAGTCCAGAACTATGTCATGGTCGTTCGACTGGTGTGACCATTCCCGCTGCCATCTTGTCCATCTCAGATTGCACCACCGCGGCTGACTTTAGAGTTCGGTTCTCCGCGAGAAGCTGTAACTTGCACTGAGGTTGGTGTATAAGTAGTCCAACTAATTATGGTTCATATATATATATATACATACATATGCATATAATTGCATATGCATATCTATTATAGTCAATGGGATTTATATACCAACTTTTCTTGGGGGGCACCAGCTTGCAGGTGATATGGGGATATACTGAAGTTTTATGATATCTTATGGGGGTATAGTTGGGATAGCCAATCTAATTTAGTTTTGGGTGTGCAGACTAGGTAATTTAGGTTTTTGGGTCAATTAATTCGTGGTGAACCCCCAGGAATTGTGTTTGTGGGTTAGTTCACCCCAGTTACCCAGTTAATTCAATAGAGCTGTAGCAGGGTGTAAACCACCTGCAACTCCTGCGACCGAGGTCCAAAGGAACCGCTATAAACTATGGCACGCCAGGTTGTAATTTCTTGAAAGCCGCTGGGAAGAGAACTCTGGAATTCAAACTCAATAGAAAAGGTGTTCAAATGATGTTCTAATGCGAAAAATCCTTGTGGGGTCGCTTTAAAGATATCTATGCGAGTAGCTATGCCCCAACAAAATGGGCATGGCTCAATCACGGGATAATGACTATGGAGCTAGAACGTTGCTCACCTTTTAAATGCTATGAAACTCTTCATTTTTTGGGAGTTCAGCCAGAGCCACAGCCATTTTTCAAAAAATGGCGCTACTTCTGTGGGATGAGCCGTCTCGAATGGGGAAAAAATGAACCACTGAATTTAGGAAAAACATCTTTCCCCATTAATGGTTAATGGTTACTTTAATGGTTAATGGTTATCAATGGTTATTAATGATAGAAACATATCTGGTTGGTGGTTTCAACCCTACCCCTCTGAAAAATGATGGACTTCGTCAATGGGAAGGATTAATTATCGCATATATAAAATGGAAAAATAATCCAAATGTTGCGAACCACCAACCAGTTCCAGAAACAGCCTTCAAAAAGCTTTCGGCGAAGGTTTGTTTCATGGCACACTAGAGTCACTAGAGCTGATCCACGATGCTTCAAAACCTTGGTGATTTGCGGTGTCAAATCCCATTCAGCAAAGTTCAACTTGCCATCTGGGGTGAAATCAGCAAAATCCCGCAACAACCAACATTTCAAGACAAAGTTCGACAATACGTGCTTCAAAAATCGCCATGCACAATTTCGCAATGTAAATGCGAAAAAAACATGAGACATAAGCCATTGGGTCCCCCAAAATATAGTTAAATGTTGATGACCATACAATTACCTAAAAGTGCCATTTTGGGATCACTACCTGAGGGCCTGGTGGGTAAACTCAAATATGATTGCCTTAAAACTGTGGAATCTCATTCGCAGCAATAAAACATCCTGTAAATTGTGACGCATCAAAAGAGCAACAGATCCATTTGTACTAAATTGCATTAAGTTGCTGGTTAAATACATATAAAAACATACGCATAGTATGTATGACGTATGTATGACGTATGTATGACGTATGTATTTCTGTATTTCTGTATTTAAGTATTTATGTATTTATGTATGTATGTATGTATGTATGCATGCATGCATGCAAGGATGGATGTATGTATGTATGCATGCATGGATGTATGTATGTATGTATGTATGAATGTATGTATGTATGTATGTATGTATGTATTTTACAAATATTCATAGGAAAAAGTGAACAAGTTGTGTTATAGTACCCTTCACCAGTTCTCAAAGACCCACGTTCTCGCCATATCAACTCGGAAGTCTCGGAAGTCCTGGCCCGTCCGCGTCTTCCAAGGTCAGGGTGTAGTTGCCCTGGGAGAACCGCAGAGGAGTTGGGTCACGGAGTTAGTTGGCTGCCTCGTGCTTCTCTACTTAGTTAAACTTACTTTATCGGGAAAAGAAATCATCAATCCCAGTCCTTAATAAGAGGCAAACTTTTCTTTGAATTTGAATGAAATTCACCGAACCTGAAACCAGGAGATTTTGGGATGGTTCCCCGCACCAACCATCACCTTTTCTCACCTTTTCTGATTGTCTCAGCGACTCAGCGTTGCGGAGTCGTCGAGGTTTCACCTCCAGCTCACATCAAAAGGTATCTCACAAATTCCTGAGTGATTGAACACTGTTGATTTTGCCCTGAGCTTCTTGAAGTATGTCATCTGCCATTTGAACCAAGCCGCTGCGCAGTTTCAGTGCTATGCATTGAGTCCAAAACTGTACCACACAGCTATGTGGTCTTAGGTGAAGCAGCTTGAGCGGTGGGCCAAAATGGCTCCACACTCCTTGGATCCAAGATGACAGATATTTTGTTCTTCGAACGAAGTCCACGGCCTTAGTGTCATGCATGCCGTCGACCCAAACCTTACGCTTTGTCACATGTCGCACACCAGTATGTCCTGTCTGGTGTTCATACAAAATATTCATCTGAAACCATGAAATGCATTTGACTGGTTCGGAAGGGTCAGTGAGCTGGGCGATCCAGTTCAACAACTCAGCAGCATGAGGAAAACTATATTTAGCTGGGAGATCTTCAACTTTCGGGATAGCGAGATTGGCTTCGGCAACTTCTTCTTGGGTGATGCGCTCAACATGTTGTTTGTCAACGGTGGTGGCAGTAGGTGCACGAACAGCTTGTCGCCCAACCTGAATGAGGGCTTTATGTACATGGTTTCGCAGGATATGTATGTGTGAAATGTCTTGTTGGAGTTGTAACCACATTCTCATCATTGCTGGGAAGCTATGGATGACTTTCTCTGCTACATGGTCAGCTGCTGCATTACCTCGGCAGGCCCATTCCTCATATTCATTTTCGGCACTGGCAACGTCCTGGTGGCTGCAAATTTTCTTGATGCCTAACAAGTTTGGTCCCAAACGGCGAACCACTGCATGCAAGGCTGACCACAGGTCGGCATCTTTTTGGTTGGGCTTGAAAAAGGCATGTCTCTGCTGGAATCTTTGCATTCTTGTGAAAACCAAGTCATTGTCAGTCCAAAGTATGATTGGCTTACCTACCTGCACTGCATACCAACATGCACTTGTTGCTGCGATGATCTCTCCTCTCAAGGCAGTTTGGACCCACCCCTTGACCACACCGGAAGCAAGGGGCCAGAAGGTGGCCATGTCTGGCATTGCTATCACCGCTCCCCAGGTTGCAAGCTTGCTGAGGGAACATGTCGGGGCGAGGCAACTGCCATCAGTAAAGGCATACACAACTTCCGTGGTGGCAGGTGGCGCAAGGAAGCTTTTGGTTTCATCCGGGATCTTTGCTAACTCTCGTCTGAAAGGCTGCAAACTGGGTGGCTCGGGCATCCATCCATGTGCTGAAATGCACGGCATCATCTGTGCCACTTCATTGGCCTGTGTTTCGGACACAGTCCGGCATGGGGTAAAGGCTGCACACAGCCAGTGTCTGTGAACTTGGGAGTCAGGGAGGCCGCAATGCTTACATGACGTATCTCCTTGCCCCTTCTGGTGTTTCTTTCTGTCTGCTGTGAAGAAGGTGCCATTTAAACATACCCGCAGCAGAGCTTTGTCCTCTGCCGGGAGGTGACGTGTTCCTGCCATGGTAAGTGGTGCATTCATCCATTGCATTCCTTGGAAAGTTTTCCGGCTAGACGCAATGCCTTGGATGCGCACTTGACATGCTTCGGTCAGTCTTCCTTTAAGCTCTTGGACTGGACAGTTGCGCAAGTCAATGACTTGCATGGCATGGTCTAGGAATTCGGTTCCTTGAGTCCATGACCACGCAATCTGGTGCAATCTGTTAAGGAGGACAGACATTGGGCCTGGCCTCGGCACATAGGTCTTTCTGGTATAGTGGAGCTCTTTCATGCAGAACGATGTACAGTCGTCTGTTTGGTTGTGTTCCCTGTACATCTGCACTGTTTGCCACAAGGCTTGGAACTGCGGGTCGGCCAATGGTCCTTCTACCAGGCTGAGGTGTATGGCTGGAGATGTGCCACTGCTATGCTCCCACAGGCCTTGCAGGGCTCCAGTACGGAGCTTGTCAAAGTGGTCATCTGCCATGTGCGCGGAGGCAACGCCATGAAGGCATGAGGGCCATGCTTTTGCTACCAAAGCTCTTACCTTTTGGGCATAAGGTGCAAGGGACCTGGCAAGTCTACCCCAAAGTGGTTTGATCTCTTCACACCTATTGGTTACAGTGCTGTTAGTAACAACCTTACTGTATTGTACGTGTCCTCCAAGGTCTCTGGCACTGAGTTTGGTGACCTGGTGCTGGTCACGCAAGGTTTTTCGTTGGGAGGCATCAACTGACCAACTGTAGGACTTTTCCTTGTCGATGGCGACATCCATCACGTCACTAAAGCTATGGAACGTCTCCAATGCTTGGACGGCTGCTTGGGCATCTGGCGCTGTTGACTCTATATTGTCTACAAAACTCCACAAAGTCACACTGGGGTGACGGAGCCTGAGGAAAAGGTGAGCTACCAGGTTATGGGCTAACATTGCTGTGACTGACAATGCACATCCCTCCGGAAAACCTGTGCTTGAACGCAAGCTTGGTCCTACACAGTTATGCAACTTGAAACGCCTCTCCATGGTGGTGAGGGCACTACCCCATGCTAACATGATTTGTGGCGCAACACGCAGGATGTACATGAAGTGGAGGATGGGAGTCCGGGGCAACATGTTGAAAGCTTTCACCAGGTCAACAACCCATCCTGACAAGCTACCTTTGTTCAACTGTGCTAGTTCTATCTCCTGCATGATGCCATACCACACATGTGCTGCATGTTTCCCAGGCAAATTGCCTGTGCAGGTGGATGGTGCCAAAGGCTGAAGGTGTTGCAAAACCTGTCGGGCTCTTATGGAACTCCACGTACGGTAGCACAGACTAAAAACTGTAATTGGCCTATACTGGTTTACAGTTTCAGCCCCTGGGGTTTTTTCCAGTGCAACTACAAAACCTGTGACCATTTGCTGAGGCCAAGGCAACCCTTGCTCGATTCGGTTGAGCAAGTCAACCAAAGCTTGCTTGGCGGGGAGGGGCCAATGCAACATGTCGGCTCTGCTAAGGCCATCTGGGCCTGTGGCTGCTTTCTTGGATTTCTTGCGCAGGGCATTGTCCCAGTCTGCAACTGTCAACGGTTTGTATTCCATTGGGCTAGGCATCGGGAGTACTTGTTCGGCAAAGGCAATTACCGGGTCCCATTTGTGGGCATCTACTTCCAGGTGGCGGTCCCACCTCTTTGTCCACTCTTGGCCAAATTGCCGGAAGAGTTCAGTGAGTTCCCCAACGTACTGGTCTTGGTAGATCTTATCACCGACCTCTATATCATGAAGCTGGTCTACCCACAGTTTATCTGGCTCTGCATGTATAACCTGTGAGGAACCATTAGGCAGCTGCACTGGGATAGTGGCATCCCACTTTTGGTCAGGTGCTACTTCAACGGCTTGGTCTGGCTGATCTACGGCTATGACGGTGGCTGCTGGTTTATTGAGGAGCATTTGCACTGGCTGTGCTGCAGGCTGTTTGAGGTCTTTGAAGATCACCATGGGATCATCTATCCTCCTTTGTTTGGCTGTGCTCATTCGATGTTGGTTCAAGGCTTTCTCAAAGGCTTGCAGGTGCTCATGGAAGCTTCCACACATTTGGATGACTTCATCAGTGGGTGGTGCTACTTCAGGGATCAACCATAGGCCATAGGCTTGAAACCACCATAGTTGAAATGATGGGGAAAAACCCGTCGCCAGAACTATGCTATTCCACAGGTTGGCACGATGTGTCCTTGCTTTGTCAGTGGCGGGCTCATGGATCCTGGTCATGTTGAGCAGCCTACGGTATTGACGGAGCCATCTTGCATGCTGCAAATTAAGGCCGTGAGACCCTGGCTGATATTCCCCGTGGCGGGGCGCTCTGGGCGGAGCACTGTACTCCTGTTTCCATCGCACCTCAGTAGTTTGAGCTCGGCCCATGCTTTGGGGTGGCATGCACTTACCCTTGTCTTGGAGGACCGTTGCTGCTGCGGTTTCAACTGATGTGCATATGCGGGTAAATTCCGCTGAGGCATCCGGTTTTGGCTCTGCTGTCGTATACCTTTGGGTCAAGGCTTCAGCAGGGATTTCATCCCATGGCATCGGCTTCGGCTGCCTCCATATTGGGATCATTGGGGGTTTACCGAGTGGGTGGAACTTGACTATGAGCACGGCATGATCTGGAAACCAATGGTGTTGAACTTCCACATCTTTCAGATACATGGCAAGCTCTGGTGACAAGTAAACATGATCCTTGGTGGTCTTGTTTTTACAAGTCACATCGATTGGTTTGTTGAGCCTTTCCAAGGCCCATTGTTGGGCATTTACCCACCCTGCTTCTTTCCACTGCTGCATGCTTGGCAGGGCACCATCTGGTTGATTGAAGTCCCCTGCAATGAATCTAAGTCCGTGGCTATGTTGCAAAAGTCTGGTGGTGACGTGTTGGCAGATTTTGTCGGTTTTGGCTTTGGTGGCAAGGGTTTCAGCTTGGGCTGCATGGCCATAAACGACACCCCCTTGCACCCACCGTTGTTGAACTTGGAAACAGGACATATGAAATCTCGCTTCATCCCAGCTTTCTTTGGGCCATGTTGAGGTCATGGCTCTGGCAGGACATGTACTCAAGAATGCTACCCCTCGATGTTTGCCGGCAATGGCTGTTACGGTATTGGATCTGGTGGGCGTGTTAGCCCCTGTTTGCAAATGATACCCCGTTTTATGATGAATTAGTTCCTTGTGGAACTTGGCACGGCCTGGAGCTGTCAGATGAGACTCAGAAATTGCCCAGAGCGTGGTGCCCTGGGCTTTCGGCAAGTCCGCAATCAACTGCCCCCGGCCCAAAAGGCCTGTTGGATTTATACAACCGATGCTAAGCTCACCGCTTGTAGCTGGGCCAGGATTGGCCGCTTCCCCTATGCGACACACGCATGTAAAAATGCATAGCAGCCACAATAGCGGCCGGTATGCCCCCCATCTTGTTCTCATGGCTAGTCACTCGCCCATGCGTGGGCGTTTGGCAAAGAGCTGCTCTATGCGCATCATTTGCTGTTCCAGTTTGGTGTCTAGAACTACTTGGAAGGCATTCTGCTGTTGATCGATCTTGTGGTCCAGGTTCATCATCTGTGACTGCACCTGTTGGTTGTGCTGCAGTTGCTCTTGCTGTTGGTGGCTAACCTGAGTGCTCAGTCGTTCAAGTCTTTGCTCCAGGGCTTCGATTCGATGGTCATGTGAGCCGTTCATGTCATCATCTTCACCTGCGGTTTTCATCTTGGCAAGGACGGCTTTCTCGACATTGGCTTGGATTGAGGCAATTTGGCCAACAGGGATCTCCCTAGTGGCAGCTCCAGTTGGTTGTTTCCATGGGTCGTCATGCAACCATGGGTCCTCTTTCGCATTGTCCTTGCTTTTGGACTGCAGGCTGTGGATGGTTTTGCTTGAAGCCAGAATGGTTGGCTTAGCATGCATTGGTGTGGTCACTTTTTCTTCTGGTGACACCAACACATCTCCATGGGCCATTTGGAACACCCAATGAGTTGGGTCTGTGGCAGCTTGGACATTCCACATGATACCTGAGCGATCGCCGGTTTGGCCGATAGGCCCAACCGGCCTTGCACACCAGTCCCACTTCTGAAAGACATGGACCAGGCTTTGTTTGGTGGTACCAAAGGGCATTGGGCCCACTTTGTACTTTTTCAGATCGGCTCCAGGGATGTATACCAGGTCTGGTCTGTGCAGCTTGTGCAACTCTTCAGCTTTGGTGTGGTCAGTACGCAAGCCGTACCTGTCACCTTGCCTTACCAATGCTGTTTCAATCTTGGAGGCTCGTTGGATGACTTGTGCTTCGGCGAAGGTTTTTCCTGGGAGCCAGACCACTTGTTGGGACTCATCGGGCTGTCTTCCATCATGTCGCCTGAGTTCATAAAACCTTCCATCTTCACCGTTGGCCTTCAGGATCGTTTCAACTGCTTCTGATTCTACCCTGAGGTTGACCATGAACAGTTGTGCTTCTTGGACTGGCACCTTCATCATTCTGGCGGTCATGTATTGACGATCCCATACATCTAAGATGGCACTCGAGGCAACTTCCGTGAACGGTGACATGTTCAGCAGGTGTTTGACTGGCTTTTGGATGAGCTCTTCCCATTTGGCTTTGCACTGGTCTTTGTAGATCTGAACTCGGATGACCTGGTGTGAGACTTCCGGGACTTCCAGGCAGTTGGTTGGCAAGTTTCGGACAACTTGTTGTGCTCCGATTTGTAGGACTGCGATGCTGACGATCATGGGCTCATTGGTGGCTAAGCACTTGGCGGGTACCTTGGTGACTTGGCAACTGGGTGGCAATCTTACATCGTCATGATCAAGTATCAGCAAAGCTATGCCTTGTTGGCTGACCGGTGCTGACAACTGGAAATACGGGAGGGCCTCTTGGATGTTCACCAGGACCACCCCCATTGCATTTGGGCCAATCTGATTGGCTTGGATCTGGCCGATCTCTTGTCCATCTTCCTGTCGGAATACGGCCATTGGAATTGCAAGCTGGTCAGCTTTTAGCTGCATGGTCTTGGTTGCCTTTTGACTTTTGATCTTGTTTTGTTTCTTTCCGACCTGCTTTGGGTCTTTGAGGCGTGCTTGGATGGCTTCATGCAACTCCTCGGCTGTGACCATTCGGATTGGTGGCTGATGCAGACTTGCCTTGGCTTTGAGGTCCATCCATGGTTTCGGCGACAGGAGTATCTGTTGAACTTGCTTGATGCCTAGGGCCTTGATCAACTGTTCCGAACATTCTGCTCCCCTACCTGGGTTCACTCCATGTGTTACTACCAGCTGCTGCAACTGTTCTTTAGCATGAAGGGCTCCTCCCATCGCTAAGTGCTTGACAGTCTCGAAAGCTTTGCCTGTGTGCACCATGTTTTGATGGCACAGGCTTCTCCACTGGCATGCTTGCCGAACAGTGAAAGGCTGGGTTGTGTCATCACCCATCAGTTTGGCCAAAAGCCACCCCACTGCTTGAAAACCACAGTCGGCAGGAAAGGCATGCGGAACTTTGCTGGTATGAAACCGCACTTCGTGTTCTTCAACTACTTTGGCAAATTCTTCGACCACCCAATCTTGTTCTTCCGGTGGGAGGTGTACATGGGCTTCATCCCCTTTGGCCTCGACAAAACAAGGGATCCAGTGGTTGTCACGCAGGAAGGCAATGGCCTTGACTTGGCTGTTGAGGTCAAGGTGTGCTCTGGTAAGGGCTTGGATGATTGTAGATACTACCTTGGCATCACGGTCCGGATTGTTCGGGAGTTCAACCACCCCAAACGTGGAGCTTGGATGGTAGCTTTCCAGCATGTGCATGTAGTATTTCATTTCATCTGCGGCCACCCAGCCCTTTTGTTGCCACAGTGCAACTTCTCTGCTCATTCCTGCAACTTGCGGCAAGTGCATTTGCTGGCTGCTCTTGGGGCAGGAATATTGCGTCACCTGGTGATTCTCTTCCAACATCAGGAAGTGGTTTTGCTTGAGCACTTGGTGTTGGCTAACCTGAGTACCCATGGCTGTGCTTACCCTGATTGGCTGATGGATAAGTCCCAGCTTGCTGGTGGCGATTGCAAGGGATGCTGCTGTGCACTTCGGTTCCGTGGCATGTTGAAAGATGGTCTGGCCTGACAGTACCACATTCACATAAAATTCTGGGAGGGCAGTGGCCTCATGATCGCACTCACCATCCGGCTGACTGGCTTGAAACTCTGGCTCGGCTACCTTGCAATGATCTTTTGGATCTAGCTGAGTTGGACCGGGCTCACTGGCTTCAAGCTGCTCAAGATGATTCAGGATCTGCTCTTCCTGTGATGGTGTCTCATACGGGCTGATGCTGGATTGCATGGCCTCCAGGCTATGCTTGGTGCTTGATGACTCGGACGGTGCTTTGGTGCTGTCTTCATGGTTCTGTTCTGCAAGCTTTCTGTACTTGGCATGTGCAACAACTGCCTTGTCCAAGGTGCGTTTGTGTGACTGTGAATCTACGCACGGATGCTCGTTCACTCCTGCCTCAGCTTTGGCTATTTGCATTGCATGGCACGGCTCGTTGGCTTTGACCTCAGTGTGTTCGGCGGGACCTGTACAAGTGGCAAAGGCACAAAAGCCGCCTGATGTTGGGTGGACGTGGCTTGGAGTTGAGAGGGATCTCAACTGACTTTCTGTTCGTCGCCACCTTTCATCATTTTCATTGTGTGAGAACATTTCAGTGTGTACTCCTACCCCACACCCTAAACGCGGAAGGGAGGGTACCCATTCTCCATGCACTGGTGATTCTTTGTTGTCATGTGTCAAGTGCATTGCATTTTTACTTCTTTGTTGCAAAGCCAAGAGCCATGGATCGGGCTGGCAATCTTCGATTGGATCTTCATGGGTGGCTTCGTCATGGGCATTCACCTGAGTGGCACTGCGGGCAGTTGATTGTTGACTTCGGTCGATTGGTTCTGCATGACTGAAGCCCTTGGGCTCTCTGTGGAAAATCTCCAATGGGGAGCCACTTTCATTGTACTGGGAGGGGCCTCCACACCCTAAACGTGGAAGAGGCTTGGCATGAAAGAGGGTGGGCGCGGACATGCAACTCAGGGGGCCATTCAACCTGCCTACAGGTAGAACATTCGATCTTTCATCATGGCTGTCTGGATACTCTGGTGTTGCTCTCGGCATCTGCATGGCGGGTGCGCTGTCTTTGGTGTGCCTGTTGGCAGGCGGCAAGCATGGATGAATCACCTGGATTGCAGCATCATTGGCTTTCCATGTCAACGTCGTTCCAGGAGCCCTGTCATCGCGTTGAATGTCATGTGCAATCCTGGCTGGTGCAGGGATGATCTCGTTCAAAGGCACGCCTCCACACCCTGGTCGTGGAAGAGGCATTGGTTGGCTTGGCAAGGCTGTGTGTGGACGAGTCAATTCATCTCTATGTCCACTTGCATGGGCTGCGATTCCTACCACTGCATTAGCAGTTGGACCTACCTGGCAAACCTGGTTGCTAGAGCAAGTTGCGCTTCCACCGATGGCTTTTGGCATTTCACTGGGGTCTTTTCGCTGATCATGGGAGGGGCCTCCACACCCTAAACGTG